AAGTCGCAGCGAAAGTTTCATGAAAGGTACGTAACACAAAATTTTATTTTTTTCAGCTTAATCTAATTATAAGCTTTTTCTATGTTCTATATTTTTTCCTCAATTTTTTGTATATTTTACTTCGATGCTTGAATATCTACGTATTTATTTTATTGTGGATAGAGAAAATTGAATTCGAAAGAATAGAATTATAGAGTGCATCTGTAATACGTTTAAATGCGCGCTTCATACACGACACTTCCGGCTGAACTCCTTATCTGACACTCCGAAATGTTGTAGGTATACAATCACAGCTGTTTTTGAGTTGTGTACGATCCATCGTAAAATGTTGTCAACAAGTAACGTTCGTTTACAGGTAAATTCGATGTGCCGACGGGCTTGAAGCTGCGGGAAGCCTTTTCTTCGCGCAACTGCCAACTACTATTGCGTGTTATTAACCTGCACAACTAATTCGGTAAAGTCATTCATTGAGGAAATGCAGTCGTGTATTTACAGATTCTCTTATTGCATCGTGGGCGTTCTTTTTATAGACAGGCTCTCTGACCTCCTTCTCCTCTTAGAGCGCAGTCGGACTAGCAATTTCTCCTGCGTGCAGACCATGCTACGGCCAGTTTTTTAAACAATATATATATATTGACACTCAACGCTATGCCAGATAAGTATGTATTATACACAAGCTTTGTTTACATCATAATTTTTTGTAGACTTACATGTCTCCACACAGAAATCTTATAAATTTTTTATTTTCTTAATAAAGTTTTATTATATTTATTATAGTGTGCTATTTCATGATTATCACAAGTATTAGTGATTGGTTTAATTTGATACTGTCACAGTATGTTTGTCAGTCTTTGTAAGTTGAAAGTGATCAGTATCTCAATATGACTTGATCATGTTTTGTCAGGAACAAAGTTTTGGTCGGTGCTGGAGTAATATGGGGTGTAACTCTTTGCTGTCTTTTATTTAGTCGCAAGTTACGACCCATGGCATTGTTAAATTTCATCCCTGCTATCTTATATTATCGGTCAGTTTATCTTTGTCTGATAACATATACGTTATCAATATTTACATATTTTATGTTTGTTGTGACTAACCCCACAAAGGATCTTTAAAAATGTAATATTGAAATATTTAACTTTCCTAGGCATTTTAGCTAATTATAATAAATAAAAGCTATATGGCCCTTAATCATTTTTCCAAACTTGATTTGAATTATTTCATTGCTGTTTCCATGTGTCTTTTATTATGAATACAATTTTATTCATTATTGTGATTATACAGCAATCAAAAAATGGAGAATGAGGATGAACAGAAACTTAACACAAATGATGCTGGTACATCATCAATGAACTGTGATACTAATGTACATACTACTACACAAAATGAAGTGCAAAATAAGTACGTAAGCAAAATGTATGACAAATATCTAGTAAAAGTATAACTATATTATTATGAGTTAATTAATGTTAATTACATATGACGATATTATTGTATTAATAGGCAACCAACACCAAATTTTATGATGGGAGGATTGGCAGGAGCATCGCCACCAAAATTCGTGTCTTTTGATGAAATTGTAAAAGCTGCCAATGGAATGAAAAATATGGCCTTAGCGCACGAAATTGCAGTAGATAAAAATTTTCAACTGCAAAAATTGGAACCAGATGATGGTAGTTTTCATAGGCGAGTAAAAGAAATAATGCACAAAGCTTTTTGGAATCTGCTGGCGGAGCAGTTGGCTGAAGATCCGCCAGATTATTCGCACGCACTGGTTTTATTGAAAGAAATTAAAGAAGTAATAATTTTTTTTCGTTTTTGTAATTACAGTAAAGCCTCGAATGTCGCACAATAACATACTTTCTATTGATTTTAGTCATTGGATGAACTTGTACCACCGCAAAATTCAAGAATCAAAGAAAATATCAGAGAAGTGCTTGATCTGGACCTGATTAAACAGCAAGCGGAGAAAGGTGTATTAGATTTTCAGCATTATGCGCAATACATAATTTCTATTATGAGTAAAATATGCGCGCCAGTTAGAGATGAGAAAATCAGAGAACTTTCACAGCAAGGGGACATAATTGAAACGTTCAAAGGTGTCATGGAATTGTTGCAGTTAATGAGATTGGACTTGGCAAATTTCACTATCACAATGATGAGGCCAAGTATCATCGCCTCGAGTATCGAATATGAGAAAGCAAAGTTTGCCGAATTTCTCAAGGTTAATTCAAACGGTTTGCAATATACAGAGAGATGGTTGCTGAGACATTTTGATCCAGAAAAAATTACGGGCTCATCAGGCGCCAATACTAATAATATAAGACAAATTACTCATTCTTTATTGACAGAGGCGTATCTAGATCTCTTGGAGTGGGATTTCAGCCCGGATGCTGAGGTAATATTTTGTTGGAAAATATCGAATTTTATTACTTAACATGTTTATTATAAATTAGATATTTCTTTTAGACGTTGATGTTAGACCAAGGAAGACTTCTGGAATTGCGTGATATAATCAGCAGATTGAGTGTCGTCGGTTCTGTGATATTGTTGGTTAATAATACAGTTGGTGCTCCAATTCATGGAATTTCGAGCTTTAAAAAAAATATTAAGGAACACTTGAACGCGTTGTTGGATTCTGCGCATTCAAACAAGTACGTTTCTATTGAGTTTTGTATATATGATCTTTTTTTAATTTTTGCGGACTCAAAATATATTAATATAATTTTTATTTCTGCTGCAGAGATCTAGAAACTGCAATGCCAAATATTGTACTACAAGTTAAAGAAGATGTAAAAACGACGTTACAGGAAGTCAATGCTCCAGAGTTATCTCCAGAATTAGAAACATTGCTGGAAGGCCAGATAGCTGATCTTGTGGATACAAAACATAAGATCAGATACCTTGTCAGTAAGTATAAAAGTGAGTTTATAAATGTTTAACATGTTTTATTACAAATAAATATGATTTCAGGTTTGCGAATTAGACAATTTCTGCAGAAAATCATTCAATCGCAATCCATTGCGCCACAACAAGTACCGCCAGGCCTCTCTTCGCTGCAAGAAGAATTGACGGCCATTGATGCCCGATTCGTTATACTTGTTTCACACAATCGCAGCGTATTTGGCGAGTATTATCAAGACATCATTGCAAACGCGCTCGCGAGAAGTGATGTTGACAATAATAAAGAGATACATGGAGCTCATACAATGGAATTGTAAAAAAAAAATGGAAAAGATGGGATTAAATATACACAATGTTAGTACACTCGACTCTCGGTTATGTTTGTCATACATGTCGTGAGATGTGTTCGATACATCAAAGTTGTTTTCAAGCAGTTAAATTTCCTTCAATAAAGACAGATAAGTATTGAACTGCATTGAGTTTCATTGCTCTACATTTCTGTTACCAACGTAATAGAATCATTTTTCTTTTTCGATTAGAAAACAATGTGTCGAGGTGCGAGTGTATATAATTTTTCTTACTTATGTCCATTGTACATAATGGACGATATTCATAAATTATATATTACATGGTTAACAAAATAGAAAAGATATCTGTATTTATTATTACCGTTTATGATCGTTGATTATATTTATAGTTATTAATGATCGATTATTAATAAGTCAATAGAGAGTGCTACGTTCTTTCTTTTTATCTTATGATGGATAGATTTTATTCATAACATTAATGTACGATACATCGATAATCGATAATGAAATTAATTACACATGATAATGCCTTTTACTATTCTTTATATTTTAACAAAGTTATATTAAATATAATACTGCTGTTTCGCTAAAATCAATTTTAGGATGTTATCTCAAAAGTGTAAAAAATGATTCAACTTTCTCAGATCTTACATTTTCGAACTTTTTCTTGATCTCACTATAATGATGCCCGCATTATTTTACATCCAGTATGGCTTAATTAATCTAATATAAATTTATATAAAAATATTAATAAAAAGATTTTTTTCTTAACTCTTTATTAGTCTCTATTAAAATTCGTTTAAAAAAGTAAAAATAAGTATATATTTAGTAACCATTGCCTTTCCAGTATTTCCAAGCTAGGAACATTTTAAATTCTTTATATAATTCTCAAAGGCTGCAGTATGTTGTTTTTTAAGAAAACTTTGAAATCCTAAAAAGAAAAAAATATTTCTTTGGTCAAATTTCTTTTTATCTTATAACTTCAGAGATTATGTTTGCTTTTCTTATAGTCTTCTTATTTCTTCAGTTTATTGATTTGTAAAAGAAATACTTACCTATAAATAAATATTGTAGTTTCCCAGTCGGTGGAAATAAACCTGACAATACTTTCAATAATTCGTCAAAATCTCCATTTTGTGTATAGCTTTGTATTATACTTGCAAATATTTTATAATCACTCGCTGATAAAGCTCGTTTTACCTTCAAAAATTATTTAGATTATTAATGAAATTAAATAATTTTTTTCCACATAAATGATATCGAATTGTTATGTACTTACATCTTTCAAATATTGTTTTCCCAATGTCTTTTTATCGTCTTTATTCGCTTCTTTATCGTTTTGCGCAGGATTTATACAAATACTTTCTGAAGTTATTGAGGAAGAAGTCGAAGGACCAGAAAAATACGAATTAATTCCAGATGGTAAAATATTAATTTTTCTTCTTTTTATAGCTGGTTGATCAGTTCTTTGTCTTGTTAATTCGCACGTACTCTGATCTTTTAAATTGCAAGTACCAAAATTAATTTCAAGTGGTGATTCTGGCTGTTTATTTTTTGAGGTTTCGTCTAAATACATATCGATGTTAAAATTATTCTTAGTAGATTCTTCTGTCATTGAACTGTGATTTCCTTTTTGTTTGAGAGAACGAGATACTGTTGTTTCAAAAGTAGCACCCACAGCAGGCAGTGATATATCATCGTTCCCATATTGTGCATAAGTAATACTAGGTTGTGGCAGCTAGACATTGTCGATATAAGTTAAACAAAACTGTTAGATAATTAGATACACTTAATTAAAATGAAAACTTACAGTATTCTCCGCGTTCCTAAAAAAGTCTCGTAGCTCTTTCGTAATCATTCCGAAATTCGTAAACTTCTTTATGTACGGTTTGAGCCAGGCAGACAACTGTTTTTTGAAATTTGGATTTTCAAATCTACAATCACAGAGTATTACAGCACCATAATCACTTTTGTGTCTGATTATCCTGCCGATGGCTTGATTGACAGTTCGCGACGCCTCAAGTTGATACCATTCTTGCCCAGTTAAGCCCTGAATATTAAATTTATTCATCGATCTTATTAGATTATTATAATTTTTTATCAAAATTAAAAGAAATATAGTTTATACTTCTTTCTCTGCAGTTCTTATTTCCTCCAAATATCTCTGCTTCAGCATAACTCGCGGGTCTTTTAAAGGAGGAAATGGAAGACCAATGATTAATACAGCTCTACCGTTTGCATTAGCAAAATCCAGTCCTTCGCTGACTTTTCCTCTGCACACAGCCATGAAAACCGCTCCCTTGCAGGATGGATCTCTAATTTTTTGATAATATTCATTCATCACGTTGACAAGTCCGTCTTTGGAATTGGGTTCTACATAAATGGGCTATCATTCGGTAATTAGTATAACGTATCATAAAATATAGTTTTACATAATGAATACATGTTACACGTTTTTTACCTTACGTTCAGCAATCTGCGTCCACAAACCCATATTTTGCCATTCATCCCTACACTTCCTCATAATTGGATACGAAGGAAAGAAGATTAACAATCCATGAGGGACGATACAGCTGAAGTTGTACACCGTCCTTCCAAGAGACGCAATATATTTCGGGTCATTCCTGTAAAAAAGTAAGATATGAATAATAAAGAAATTGTATCATTATGCTTAATTATATTCACCTTGTGTTGTAGGAGGAATTGAGCGGATGATTGTCTGGTCCTTGACTAAGAACACCAACACACACTTGTTCCTTTGTTACAATGTGCGGATTTTCCAGTTGAACTGTGATTGGTATACCAAGTTCCGATATGAATGGTTTTAAGGGAGACAATGTACCACTCGTGAGTATTACTGAACGTACTCCCTGTTCTACCATTTGCTCCATACTGTAAGATGTTTGTCATACGATTATATTTATGATGATAAGAAAATCAATATTTTTTCGTTAAATGATATATACCCAAAGCCAGGGCTGAAACACCAGTAACTAATAAGCTTTCCGTCGGTTTTTGTCGTCTTTTTGCTCTCCCAAACGTCATTTTTGTAATTCTTCTTTTGCTCTTCGGATTGTATATGGACTTTGTAACAACGTTTCACTTTTTCCTTATGACGTACGATATTAGTGCTGTTATTAAAAGCAGTTCTTAATAAATCATTGAATTTTTGCAGCGCGTTTCCTTTTCTTGCAAACGGCGAAGTACTGGTCGTCGTCAGATACAAAATAATCTTTTCTAATTTGTCTATCACAATTTGTTCCTTTCCATGTGTCAACTGTTACAGAAATTATGAATACACAATAATAGTATATATTATATTGATAATTTTACTTAATAAAATAAAAAAAGTATTACTTCAATTTTCTCAAGTAGTTCAAAAATATATCCACCAGGAAAAGTGTCTCCTTCTGTACGATTTTTTAATTCAATGGAATCGATTGCTTTTTCCAGTTCCAAAAACATCGCCTTTAAGATGCATAAGTCCTCTGCTGTGAAATCTTTCTGAACATTATTCTCTGATAAAAAGTCATTCTGCAAATCTGCTTCCTTAGCCATGTCTTGCATTACACCAGTTACTTCGTCAATGCACAATGCAACATCTGTACTACTTATCTGTATAAATATACACAATATTAAGTTAGAATACGCATAAAGCGCTCAAGGAAAGAATTTGTTTCTGTGTACCTGTAATGATGCTGCCTCTTCGCAAACTTTTTCAACATTGTGAGCTTCATCCAGTAAAACCACGGTATTTTGTAAATCTATACCCTGTGTCTTTCGTGTCTTAGGATCTAGTAAATAATTGTAGGGCATGAAAACGATATCTGCACTCTGTTTTAACTCTTTTGCCAAAAAGTATGGACAACATTTATGCTTCTGTCCGATTTTAACTAAATCTTCTATATCTAACACTTCCTGTTTAAACATGGGATCATCCTTTCTGAAGAGATGGGAATTTATAAAATATGTTTTTACTTGCTATTTATTGTGATTAAAAAATTGCACATGCTAAAGACTATACATACCTGGTCTCAACATTATTATAATAAAAACACGTTCTTGACTTTACTTTAGAATGACACATGTGTATTTTGTTAAAAGCGCTTGCTTCTTTAGAAACTTCTGGATGAATGCATAGCTGATCTCGAGATCCTAACACAGCAGTAGCCACATGCTTGTATGATGTTCTCTTCAACTCGTGCATAGCTTGAGATAATTGAGAATGAGTTCTAGAAGCATAAATAATTTTGGGCATAGCCCAGCCAAAATTCTGAACATTATCTGGTACTCCAGCTGCTTTGTCAAGCCCATTGGTTAAATATTTAAAAAAATGTCCCCCAGAGTCCACTTTTTGAATTGCACCCGCTATTACTTGTGCCTGTAATTGAGCTTTCTTTGTCAACAGCCAACTTAAAGTGGAACACAAGAGGCTGAGAGTTTTTCCAGTGCCTGTGAAATAATCATTTCATTAATAAAAAGCTAGTAAAGAACAGCTTTAATAATTATTACATAATTTAATAAAAAGAAAAGAAATATCAAGAATATAAAAAAAACAAAAGATAAAAGAATAAAACATATTAATCAAACAGTTCCATTTTGCATCTTTTTTCTACATAAAACTGTTTCTAAAATTGCAAATTAATAGCAAATAAATTTAAAATTATGTTTTTATAATTTAATTAAATTATATATTATCATTTAAAAGAAATATAGAATTTCAAACTTAAATCTTTTTTTTTAAATGCTATTGTTATTTGCAATATTTTATAAACACTAAATTTATTTTCTAGGACACTAAACCTCTCTTTCTAAATTGACAATCATGCACGTGTACTGATATACCTGTGGGAGACTCCAAAACACCATGTTGACCATTTTGTAGGCATTCTATCACTTTTTTCATATATTCCTCTTGTACTGAATACGGTTTAAAAGGAAAGGTCACAATAATATCGTTAATTGTGATATCAGGCATCTCGGGAATTGATTGAACAACAGCTGCTTCTACAGAAGATGCTTTTTCCCGCCAGAATGATTACCCAACCTGACATCTGACATGGATTCTGAACATTTTTCTTGTGCCTTCTCTACACTTTCTGCATTTAATGTAAGAATGAAATAAATGTATACGCAACTTTGAAGAGGAAAAGAAAGAAATAACAAAGTGTAAAAAGTGTAGTCGAATAAATAACCTGCTTATAAAATTTACGATTTATTAAGGATGTTTCGTAATTTGAGTTTGAATGATAAATGCAGATAAGAATTGTGGCGCAGTGCGAAAGTCGATTCAGATTGTTCATTTATCTTGGGTACTTATGTTCGCGATAATGATTGCGTGTGATGAGCTGCCTGAAAAAAAGCAGGCGCCACTACACTTCGAGGGGTGACGACTCGAGAATAAGGTTAGTCGCGTTAATCAGCTGATGAGTTTCTGACTGGCGGCGAATCGCACCGGGATTTGTGTAACAGGTTTGCGTCTTTTTACATTATTTCATGAGGTTTGTTTGCCCCCAAATGGAATCGTAGAGCTTCTCTAGCGTGTTCAAAGCGGGAAAGATGAATTGGATAATATAATAGTCGTATATAATTTTGTCATGTGATTGGTCAAAGATCGAAAACCATTGGTTTATTGACCTCTAAAGTAACTTGCAATATGGCATGCAAATTAAATCGAAAGATAACAAGCAAACATTTGCAAGTAAAAAATATGTATTTATTGATAAGAATTTTTCAGATCTGTGAGATCTATTGAGATTTTTGAGATTAATGTTTTTAAAACTTTAAATAAATCACATAAAAACATATAGTTCATTTATAAGTTTGTTGACAATCTATTTCTGAAAAGATAGCTGGAAATCGAATATTTACAAAAGATTTATTCGAATTTAACAAAGATGAAGTTATTTTTCGGTGATTATGTAAAATAAAAAGAGTCGATGTCGCGAGCTTATCTTGAAGACATGAATGTGCTTGTTTGTGTTTTGTTGCAGATAAAAGTGCGGAGGCGTTTATTGGAATGAAATATCTGTTCATATTTTTAAATTTCATGTTTTTTAATTATATTTAACTTTTTTTATTTAATTGATGCACTGCTCCATTTTTTGATAATATATTATAACAGAAGTATATTTATTTTTGGTAGTGCAATAAAAATATAATATAAATTTAAATGTAATTAACACATTTACAAATATTTAAAAAAATACTAATTCTGTTCTATAACTGCTTATTTTACAGTGCAATTACAATTAACATATTTACTCCACGATATACATACATATATACATACATATACATCATGCGCTTAGTAATTTGTGACACAGTGGATTATGTCGCAGAATGGTCTGCAAAGTATGTTTTGAAAAGAATCAATGATTTCCATCCTAATGAGAACAAGTATTTTGTTCTCGGTCTTCCTACAGGTACACAATAATTCAATTACCTTTACTTTTTAACTTTCATATTTTGTTTAACATCATTAATAACATAGTGATTAATATCATATTATCTTATTTGTTTTTGTGTCCTTTTCATTGTTTAGGTAGTACACCTTTGGGAATGTACAAAAAACTTATAGAATATTATCAACAAGGCAAAATTTCTTTCAAATATGTTAAGACGTTTAACATGGACGAGTATGTAGACTTGCCGAGAGATCATCCAGAGTCTTATCACTATTATATGTACAACAACTTCTTCAAACATATAGATATTGATCCGGGAAATGTGCATATACTTGATGGAAATGTGACGAATCTTGAAAAAGAGTGCAATGATTTTGAACAAAAAATTAAAGAAGCTGGTGGAATAGAATTGTTCATTGGAGGTACATTAGTAATTTTTGATTAAAAAGTAAAGATCTTTAATTATAATAAATTTGCAAATAAATGTCTGAAAATGTAATATAGAAATTGAAAAAAAATTATTTCAGAAATTTTAATAATTTAAAACAAAAAATTTTTTTTAATTGATAGGCATTGGTCCAGATGGACACATAGCTTTCAATGAGCCGGGCTCATCGTTAGCTTCTCGCACTAGAGTGAAAACTCTTGCGCAAGATACTTTGGAGGCTAACGCGAGATTTTTCGGAAATGATATTGCCAAGGTGCCAAAACAGGCTCTAACTGTGGGCGTCGGCACCGTGATGGATGCTAAGGAAGTAGTGATTCTTATTACGGGATCTCATAAGGCTTTTGCTCTTTACAAAACAATAGAGGAGGGTATTAATCATATGTGGACAGTATCTGCGTTTCAACAACATCCACGTACGCTTATAATCTGTGATGAAGATGCGACTTTGGAATTACGCGTGAAAACGGTTAAATATTTCAAGGTAATCCATATCTCGTATATTGACTTAGCACTTTTTTACTTGCCACAAAACGCATATGTTGATGAAATTGAGAGATTTAGAAACTCTATCCTATTATAATATATACAACATAGAAACGCTATTTAGTGTTTAATTTGTATAATATTTAGGGGCTCAGTGATGTACATCGCAAATTGATTGAGGAAGATGGAAATGCAATTCCACGCCGTACAGTGCAAAACAATTAAAATGGTAGTTATCTCGATGACCTTTATGATAAATCGAAATTTTTTGAATTATTAACAGTAATACATATCCATTTTCCTTCCTATTCTCTAAAAAATATGCTGTATATAATGCGCAATGAACTATGTTTGCCTTACCTACATTTATAAATTTATTGTAAAAACTATAATTAAAACTGTAGAAAAAATCTAAAATATATCATTTTGTTTGCAGAATTTATGGGGTATTCATAGCAAATTGATCGAACAAGATAATCGAACAACATAAGGATTTTGTCATCAATTTATGGAAATTTCGTTAAAGACGCATGAAGAAGAGTTGAAACAAATAATCGGAAGTTTTAACCTGTGGACAGTGAATAAAATAATCAAATATTATATTATATATGCAATATATTGCATCTGGTATTTTGTGTTATTTCATATATGAAAGTTTTTATTATATATACTATAACTGCCATATATAACTGTCATTTATAACTGCTATATAAATGTCAGGAAAATATATTTTTATATATTCTACCATTTCAGGAATAAATTTATCCTTTTTATTACCATATATCAGAGGAACTATTTTCCACGACTGATCTGAGATTAACTAGTTTAATTTTTTTAGCCAAATATCTGTGACAAATAGAAATTACAGGACAATAATACAATTACGTTTTTAACAATAACAAGGTCATACGACTATTGTCCTCGCAAAAGATACTTTTCACGCGGTACAACGTAATCTTTGTAAGGACAACAGCAAATAGAGCATGGTTGCGCGTGAATCATGTGAGAAAGTTATATATTTCTCATGGCAAAATGAGGACAATCAGCCGTGAGAGGAATGGAAAGAGAAACGTTGAAGCAACGATCGCGGAGGGACACGCACAATGTTTGAAATGCCGCAGGCGTTGAAAACTATTTATAAAGATCAGCGATTGATGCATAATCTGCGCGCAAGTCGGCAACAAGTATTGTATTTTCTGCGTCGCAATTCGTCCCATCCGACACGTGCTACATTGGTAGTTGTGTAATTGTGATTACGTGTGCTAGGAAAATTGGTTTCACATGCGGTCAACTAGGAAGGAGGCGGATCGTGACGACTGCCACAATTGGAATGATTATTCGCTAGTTCAGTTCAGGGACGTGCGCGCGCTTCTTTCACACTCGACAGTTCGGCTTATCTTCAGTGTCACTCAAATTGGAGACGCGAGAGTAAATTGACGTAGTCTCTTCGACGGCGCACGGCAATCATGAGCAACGAAAAAGAGCAATCCAGGAAGATTGAACTGCGCGACTTGCAGCCGATACTGAGCCGCACGTTCGGCGATCAGCTGATCGTGGTTCGTTATACGACGAAGAACCTGTTGCAGCCTGGTGAGAATTACGGCAGTACTATTCTCAGCGTTCATGCAGTGATCAAGCGTGATAATGAGGCGAAAGAGGAAGATCTTTATCTCGTAGCAAAAATGCCGCCGCCGACGGAATTTCAACGACAAATTTTCGACAGTCCGTACTCATTCAGAAAGGAGATCTTCATGTACGAGAACATCGTGCCTTATTACAGAGAGCTGGAAAGAGAAGTCGGCTTGAAGGAAGATGAACTACTTGACATACTACCAAAGTATTATCAATCCCGATTGTCGCTGAGTCCTGACGTTGATTTCGACGATGATGCTGTTATTTTAATGGAGAATTTAAAAATGCGTGGCTATTACACCAACAACAGAGTGACAGGTAGTATAAAATATCTTTTAACACATTGATATAGGTTGATATTGACCGGTCACGAGTATACTCATGTTTTCATATACAAGCGTTGCTGACAAGCCACAAGCATATTTGTGTTTTTATTTCATTATGAATATAATCGGTGACTGGCATTTTTGCATAAAATAGTGTTAAGGCAGCATGCCAATCATATAAAAAACCTTGACCTGTGTTGCACATCTTTCCTATCAAGAATTCTTGGATAAGATTCTAAGAAAATTTCTTAGATAAGTTAAGAAATTGCTGAGAAAAACGTTTAATTTGAAAAGAAATAATTTCATATATAATATAATAAATTATTTGTAAATCTCTTAGAGTGCTTGCATTGGAGTTTGTTTCATCTGACTTAACTAATGTTTTTTAAATTCTTAATTATATGACAATACATTTAATTAAATATGTGTATAATATATTTAATCATTAATGAATTTAATTTCATAAATATATCAGATTAAATTTATATTTAATATAAGATGAAAAATGCACGACAACAAAAAGATAAGTAGTTAATAAAATTGTATAAATTACCTGGTTCTAAACGGTTCTAAAATTGTTGAATGCCATGCCAGTAATCTGTGATCGACACTATTAGAGTCAATAAACTGATTAGAAGTATTTATTTTACTTATTACGTAAAATAAGTAAGTTTCACAATTTTAGTGATAAAAATAAAATTTATGCAGCTAATCTTTGTCATCTTTTTTTTTCTTTGCATTCTACGCTTTACGCAAATCGTAAAAAGGTACCGAGTTGCCGATTATAATCTTTTTGCAAAATTAGAAAAATACTTCATATGACATCGTTAAAATTGCACAAAGTAACATGATCGTGCATTTTCACAGATTACTCATTGATAATGTGTAGATTAAATACTTAAGATTGCGAATACGTCTTGTCATGCAATGTCCATTAGGTAAGAAAAAATGATGATAGCTTTGTTCCGAACGCAGGTTGCGACCATGAGCACTCGAAACTTGCGGTGCGAGCAATGGCAAGGTTTCACGCACTGGGAATGGCTACCAAATACAAGCGACCGGAGTACTTCGAAGTACTGAAGAAACGCAGCAAGTGCCTGGAGTTCAAAGCCGAAGGTTTTGAGAGCATGCACGACGATATGGCACAGAAAATAGCGGAGGATCCGGAGTTAGCCGTTCACATCGATCGGTGCAAAGCGGTCATTTACATGCAGGCGGAGGAGATATGGCTCGCCGTACCCGACGAACCGTGGTCCACCATCGTGCATGCAGATTTCTGGGTGAACAACATCATGTTCCACCGCGATGAGAACGGTCGATTGGACGACGTGAAGTTCGTCGACTTCCAGAACTATCTGTTCCTCAATCCGCTGCGCGAAATGGTTTTCTATATCTTCGCTAGCTCAGAGGTGCGCGACGATTACATTAACGAACTGATAGATCTCTACCACGAGACGTTCCTCGCCGTGCTAGACCGAATGGGCTGCGATACCGAGCCGTTCACGAGAGAGAAATTTGACGCCGAGCTAGCGAAAGATGCCAAACTAGAGTTTGTGCACATATACTTCATGCTCAAGATACTCACGCTGGATGTGCAGGAGACTAACTTCGACGACTACAATAAGATGAAAACCTTAATGACGGATTATCAAGGCAACGATATATTTGTCCAACGGCTGCGTAAAGCCGTGTTATACTTCATTAAACGCAACTGGATTTAGACAATGCTATAGAGAAAAAAAAAATGCAAAATGCTTTTTAGAGTATTGACTATTTTATATACAAAATTGCGTATCGTTCATTATTACATATACGCGGAGTAACGCAACGCAACCAATTGTTACTGTACATACACGTTATTTTATTCTATATCTTGCATATCGAATGATAAGATTGATAAAAAACATAGAGGATAAATTATAGAAAAAGAAGATGAATGTATTTTTTAACAAACCTTGATAAATATAAAATATATTTTGTTATAATGCTGTGTATTCTTCAAATATCCGCACAGAATAGAGATGCAATTTGTTTTGAGGACCAATATATTACTTTCTTTTGGTCTTCGGAACTTTTCTGTTTCTATTTCTATTCTTCACATTCGCGACTTCGTAGAAATTGCTTCCTATCTTTTTCCTTTTACTAGCACGTTCCATGGCTCTTCGTTGTTTGCTTGTCAATTTTTTATCTTTAACACCTTCGCTATTCGTAGACTTGGAAGTAAGCATTTCACTATCGCTGGAATCATACTGAGTGCCTACGACATCAAATGCACTTTGTTTCAGATTATCTTGTTCAATAGGTAAACGAATTTCCGTATCTGAATATTGATCGTCTGCTTCTGTATCAGATTCTTCTTTATTTGCATTCCCATCATTAGTTTTAATGATATCATCTTTCTTACTGTTTTCTAGAGAATGTTTTTTATTATCTTGATCGTTCAAATTTTTCGATTTTTGCAGATTTGTATCAGATTTATCTTTTACTGTACGCGAATCATCTTCTACATCCGAATCTTCTGATTCGCTTTCTACGTCACTTTCATCTTCCACGATACTTTCATCGAATGATTTATTCTCTTCTAAATCGTTTTTAACATCATCGCCGGAATACGGCAATCCAACACGTATTTTTCTGAAGTCTTGCATCACTGATACTTGATTTTTTAATTGTTCTGTTGAAGATAAGTTATCAATTGTTTGTATATCTTCATTGCTTGGTGCGTTATCTTGCCTGATAACCGTCTCATTTGCATTATCAAGTGCTTGTTTGTGCAACGGTTCTTCAAAGCCCGCTGGTGGAACATAAAATGGTAATTTACCGCGTTGCCAATCGTTTAATACCATACGAGCGGCGATTGTAATGTCGGGTTCTCCTTTCTTCAAAAGCTTGCCGCTTCGGTGCGCCAATTTTTCCAGAAAATCGATATGATCATTCCATTTGTCTATTTTATACGTTTTACGTATGTACTCGGGTTTTACTCTTTCTAGGACAGAGACGATGTAATCTTCCGGGTTCTGAATAAGTTCCACTCTTACGACTCCCTTCAACACCTTCTCGGTATCGGTTTCCTTCGACGGATAAACGACGCCAGGACAATCGATCAAATAGATACGACGCATGAGAGTTATGTATTGCCACACTTTTGTCTCTCCAGCTATAGGCGCTACTTTGCACACTTTTTTAGAACGCAAAGTATTTATGATTGAGCTCTTTCCTGTATTAGGATATCCTATGAAACCCACACTAATCTGTTTCTTGTCGACATGCAATTTTGCGAATTGTCTTAATAGATTTATCAGAGAGCCTTTGCCGAAGGGATGCGTTAAGGAAGCATGAAAGGCAA